ATAGAAGTAAGTACAAGTTGAAGCAAATATATATAGAAATAGAACTATATGCATAACCCTAGATATAAGTAGAAATAGTAGTAGAAGGAGAATTAGAGGTAGGAGTAGAAATGAAAGTGGAAGACGTAGAAATGAAAAAAAAAAAACTAAATAAAAATATCGGGACAGTAGAATAAGAGTAGCATTGCAAAATCAAAAGCATATATAGAGTTACGGAGGGGAGGAGAGGAGGAGGAATTAGTAGAAAAGTAACGGGAATGGAAATAGAAAAAGTAGTAGATATTTTAACTTACCTTGCCCCCATCCACTAATCGTTTCCAATAATTCTTCTTGCGTTTATCTTTTTGCTTTTCACAACTCCCCCCCGCCCCCCTACACGTATTTTTATTTTAATTTCCATTTCTATTCTTTCTCTATTTTTACTCTGCTCCTGCTTTTACTTCTATATCGGTATTTTTCCTTTTCCATTTCTACGGCCACTTTTACCTCTTCTACTATCTTTACGTTTGCCTTTAATGCAATTAGAGTTTCTTTAATTCGTTCGTTTCTATTTCAATTTTTGTTTCCTCTCTAACTGCAAGTACATTATAACTGCAAGTGTATTTATAACTACACTTATAGTTATTCTTAGAACGCATGCACACACACACATATATAGAAGTTAATCGAATAAGCGGTTTTTCTTTCTAATTTTTAATGAAAATTAAACACTAAAAGGTATTAATGCGAATTTTCTTTTATTTTTTTATTTTTTTTTTTTGGTACATTTACCAATAGCACAAATAACCTTGATGAAGAAGATCGAATTAAGACAATGTTCCAATGAAACACCAAAGTAAAGAATTGATTGGAGCTGTATCGCATAAGTTTAATGACAAACACACACTAGTTTGATTTTACCAAGATATGTATGGCATGTAGCCACACTTTGCTGAAGCCATATATCGGCCAAGTTGAGATCATCTAATTTTTGCCACAAAGAATTAGTTGTCATGTGTCTCTAGCGTTCTCCACTAAAGATAACTGCGATACTATTGTCAGCTTACAAGCCACGCCCAAAAGTTATTGCTGTCCCTTAGGAACATCACATGTGTTGCCTTCACATCAAAGAAGCAAAATTTCTTATTCGCAAAGCCATTTAACCAAAAATGAGCTTGATCCCATTTACGGCAAACTTATTAAGTAACTAAGGCCTACATAGACACATTTCATATGCAAAAAGAAACTACAGCATAAGTGAATACACAATTCATTCCTACCAGCAACAAAATATACATTACGAGTTTGGCAGTGCAGTCGATTTTCTTCCAATATCTAACAAAACGGCCAGTAAAAGATCGTTCGACTAATGAGTTAGACAAACGTGAGAATATGAGACGATTTCTATTCGATCTATAGAACTGCAGTCGTTCAATTAAAAGGCTTGCGAATTGAGATTGAATAATTTTATAGAATCGGAATAAGAGAATTTTAGGAAAATAAGGAATTTTAAGGAGAGAGGACGAGATGTGATCTCTAAGTTTAACGCTATAAGCAAAACGTGTTATGACACGATTAACAATACTTTAAAGCTTCTCTAAGTTGCACCTTCGACGCCCACAATAGACTTCGATAGAATCGTAACAAGCGTGATGAGGAGCGAACGCATAATGATATATTTAGCCTGTAGAGACAAGCGGGTATAGACTTATAGACTGCACTGTTTTCGGAGCGTAAGACAAAATTTAGCAGAGGCAGTATTAATGTGTGGACCAAAGCTATCGGAGTCAATATCAACAATTTCTGTACGCCGTACAACTATTTATGTATTGCATTCTGTAAATAATGTCCAACTAAGTCCAAACAATATATTGAAAAAAAAAAAAAATTTGATCTAAATGTCAGTCGGAAATGTACTTTATTTGCGTTTGCTTTTCGAAAGACTATATGGTTGCATACAAACTTACACTATGCGTACATACAACATATATACGTATGTATATGTATATAGAAATGGTTATGTCTGGGCATATAAATATATATGCATACATATTTGCATTCGATAGGCATACATTACGTATACTTTATACTTGTAATTATACTTACTTGCTACTTATCTCTGTACTTATACTTATGATATACTTATGCTTACATTTTGTACATTTTGCACACTTCTACGCTTGTACTTAAATTAGTATATTTGAATATCTCGCTTGTCAAATCAATTAATTTCATTGAAGAGAAGGTGAGAAAATGTGATGTTTACATTTTTCTTTATCGCGTATATCTGATAGCGATAGAAAACTATTTCATTTGAATCTAACTTTTAATTGCTTTGTTAAAAACACGTTTCGACTAAGTTTTTGTTGAACGTATGAATTGCTTTCTCAAATAAATTCTGAAATATTGAATGGGTATAAAAAGAAAATGTTGCCATTTAGTGTTGCTTGCATTTATTATTAGAGAAATTCATGTTGAGTCTATTCCGGGTTAGGAGTCAATTAAACGCTTTTATATTAAAGTTTCGAAAAATTTCAGAAAGTAACGTTAATCGATTATCGATTAAATTCCATTTCTGTGTTTATAACTTTTATTTCTATGCTTTTATTTTTTTATAAACGGAACAAACTTGAGTTCTTCACCAATGGTTGCCAGAAGGAAAATATATTTGCCTGAATTTGAAACCTTAACGGGCAAAATAACTCCACTTTAGGTTTTATATGCTGTTTTGACAAGAAGCTACTTTAGTCTTCATACGTAAGTCTTTGTAAAGACTTTGTGAAGACTAAACTAAAGATATGATGTGGCGCCTTTTTCCCCCTTCTATCCGTTTTGTTTTTTTTTTGTTTACTACGCTTGTGCCGTTTAATCGATTCCGTTCATTATTGCACTTGTTGGGGAATCCTTGTATGGAGAAGATGTCGAGATTGTCAGGACTCGTCAGCTTACAGGCTTGTCTACTACGATTTCAGCTACAGTGGATGCTCAAGATTTGCCACAGATTTATGCATTTTTAAGAACGCCAAAGAAATAATAGTGCGAGGCGGTATCTAACTATGTTGGATTGGTATCCACTCCTTTCACGCTAAAATCCATGAGGAAAATTTGGATAGCAATCCAAAAAGTAATGCAAGGGAATAATTCGAACGCATTGTAGTGTGAACACTAGTGGGCGACTGCCGTTGTGCTCATCTCAGAATTAAGTCGTTCTCACAAGGATTAGCAATAGAAATTTTAATGTGTAAAGAATGACGGCGTGGAAACGATGTCTATTCACATGAGCCGAGAATGGAGGAATGCCGTTCTTCATGCCCCATGCCAAAGTGACATCGAACAATTTGATCCAATCGAAGTGTAGGTAGAGCTTGACTACTGGACGCGGCCCCTTCAGGAGTACTCGTGATAAATTACTCGTGGTTTTGCAGGAGCATTAAAGCACTAAGAGATGCAGGTATGAAAGTTCGGCACATACTCAAAATTTCACTACAGCTTTGATGTAGACTCTGTCAGATGCAGTATTATCTTGCGATGTAAATTATCTTACGATTTCTTGGGTTGCATTCAAAGACTACCAATCAACATCCGATATATTTTTCTAAATGCACTTAGATCTAATCAGTAAACATTAAGAGATTTTAAATTAATAAGTTCAGTTTCAATGACAGCAAATAGATAGAGGAATGGACTTCACGGGTCGCATGCGGAACTTTACTGAAATCGTATATGCGTAGTTGCAGATGTGTGATGCGTATTTCTCAGCTTTTAGAAAAGAAAGAATAAGATTTGAATAAGAGCGGCACACTCATAATGGGCAAATAAAGCAAGGTTTTCGAGAACAGTCAACTGATGGATATGCAAGACTGCTGGCGGCAGAAAAATATAACAATTTTGATCATAACATTTTAAAGTTCACCTTTTATTATAAATGTATGTTAAGAAATGCATAAGAAAAATGCACCCGCATCTAGAGACGTCAGTTTCGAAGAATAAATATTCCGCTGGATGAATATATTTAAACGTTGGCCGTGAAATATTTTATCATTTTCCCCTCGGCTTTCTACATGTTTTAATTATGCATCAAAACGCAAATTATGATAAATTTATATCAATCATGTTTAAGGTAAATGTTTCCACACCTATGATTTTTCAGTTTTTTCTTTCTGCCGAAGCATTCTCTTCGCCAATGTGATTAATGCAAAAATTCTAATGTGTTTTGCCTTCGAGGGAAAAATCCATCAGTTTAATTAATGCTATTAACATTTTTTTTTTTTTTTCTTCCTTTTTGTTTCAACTTTTTTTTTTTAATTTTTTAATTTTTATATTTAATTACCTCTGCTTTTGCTGTTCTCAATCAACACAATGTTGCGCTATGCTATGCTTCCCATTAAAACAACGAACAGCAGACAGTGGCTACGGCAGTGGTGTTTAGTAGCGAGCAGTCGGGAGTAAAAGGAGCAGGAAAACGAAATGAAGCAAAAGTGTATGTAATCCACAAAAATATTTCGTCGAGTGCAGCGTAAAGATGACTTTAACATAAAATAAAAAAAAAAACAAAAAGAAAATGACGTACACGAAAGCTACGGCAGTAGCAGAATTTGGGTTGATTGTGGCTTGACTTGTCGTTTAATAATAAAGCAACAAAAACCAAAAAGAAATTAAGGCGTACAGGGATTGCTGGTTGGAAATCCCCAGAAAGGAAAGAAAAAAAAAAAAACAACTCTTAACTGGCCTTTTTCTCTTGGTCTCAGTTGTTAGACCTGAGCCGGTTAACTTAAAATACACAAACACTCGTTATACACACTCACGCTAGCAAAACAAAAACGTAATCCAATAATCGGACTAAAACTGTATTTTCTTTTTGCAGAGATTATTATTTTTTAACTGCGACGACATTAAATAAAGAAGATCCGCTGTTAAAAAGGCCTTAGACAAAACAAAACACTATTCACTTTTTTCTTCTCCTTTTTTTTCTTCTTTTTTTTTTTTTTTGTATACAAGTTATTAAAATTATTAACACTCACACATTTACATAGATTAACACCGGTAGACGCAGCTTAATTTATACATCGTCATTGAAATGCAAAGGAGGGAAAGAGATGCAAAACGTCTATATTTTCATTGAATTTGTTCTTGTGTTTGTTAGTAAATAGAAAAGCGCACGCATGCACATACAAGTATGCACATACAAACGGCAGCGACAGGAATTTGCATGCACTAACTTTACAGGGTATCTCAAGATCAAATTTGTCTCAAATGTTTAGAACCAATATATATATATATATATATATATATATATGTATGCATATATACAGTAACACTTTCTATTATTTTTCCGAAATTCACTTCAATCCATTGCTTTTTGTTTCGAATGATTATTTTTTTTTTTTTAGCTTAATTCAATTTTCTTTTTATTTTGAGTAAAACGTACAGATAGTATTTAGTTTTTTCTACTTTCTTTTTTTTTGTATTAATTCAATCACGACAACGGAACGACGAATCTATTCTTCCTTTTTTTTCTTCTCTCTTTGAATTTTCCTTGCGAACACAAATACTTTCACGCATTTACTCACTTAGTTAGAACAAACACAACAATAATAAAACTTCAGGTTATAACTAACGTAGATAACTGCTTTAACATAGGCAGCGACGTTGCGTCAACGTTGTTTCTGCATATTTGTGAATATATACAAACAACTTCAACTCTTCTTCTTCTTTTTCTTAGGTATAGGTACGGTTTTTTATGTTATTTTACTTTTTGACACACACACATTCTCAAAAGCATTTTATTCAAACGAATTGTATCGGGAAAAAATTCCTTTATTTTTTCTTTCCTTCTCCACAATTATTAAATTAAAGTGAATATTTTATTAATGTTTTATTAAATTTTTTTTTTAAATTTAATAGATTTTCGGGAAAAAATCTCTCTCCCGTTACATTTCTATTCAAGCACTATCAAATTGTTATTTCACAGAAATTTCTATGAAAAATTTCTTCCGTATCCTCTTTTAGGATTTCACGCGTTACGACGCGATACGAATACAACTCACTACTAGTTTCCACAGTTTCACGGCTTCGAAACCGACTTGCAGTTAAGGTGACCAGATGATCGTACATGACCATTTTTCATATATTTACATACTTTTAGTGTATTTGTCAAACAGAATCAATACAATATTAACATTGTTAAAATGATTTAATAATGCAAACGGAACGACAAAATTATATTTAAATTATGTATTTATAAAAAAACGGTCTGGTCATCTTAAGCATTTCATTTAAAAAATCATATGCGAGTTATTACATTCTCACATTGCGTCTGCATAAGCAACCAAAGCAAAACCGAGAGTTTGCATAGGCAATGAGTTATTTTCTTCTTTAGCTTCTTTCACAATTTATTTTAGAAAAGAAGAAGTTGAAAAATAAATTATTTTTTATTCTATTTATTTTTATTAATTTGAATTTTATTAGCATAAGAGAATAACCTTTCAATTAGTTTTTTATATAATTTATTTCTTTCTTTAAATTATTTAAAAGATAAAAAATGAAGCGTACGTAATATAAAAAATATTAAGAAGAGTTACAGGCAAGAGAGTTAATTAAATAATTTTTTCCAGTCCTAGTTGTATATGTATTACTTCGTAATGTAAAATTTTTTTATACATGATTATTGCAAAATATTGTATGTATAAAAATATTTAAAAGAAACATTGCTTCCAGAAAAGAAGATAATAAATAAATATGCATCCAAACAAAGAAAATTTTGAATTTTAAAAAATGTTTAGTTAAAATTTTCTTATTTTATTTATAACACAAATATAAGCAAACACAATAAATAAATAAATAAATTCATAAATGTCGTTGCAATTCTTTAAAGGATAAAAATGATAATAAGAGCGATTTAGTTATTTGTGGATTTAACAGACTAATAATAATAATATTAAATTAATAGTAACATTTATAAAATAAAATATGTAAACAAATAAACATGTGCTGAAAATGCAACAACAAAATACACAAGGTATATTAAGAGCCAAAGAGAAACGAGTTAGAGTAAAATTTATTATTTAGCAAATTTACATTGCTGATTTCTTACGAAGACCCACTAGATCCCCCCACCACCAATGAAAAACTTTTTGAATTTGTGAGAATAAAGTTTCCTTGTTCTCTAACCCCTGAGTGGCTTTGTGAATTTGCTGAGAATAAAATCCTATTTCTGAGAGTAAAATTTATTCCAGTACATTTCCTATGAACACCCGCTAGACCACTGAGTAATTTTTTGAATTTGCGAGAATAAAATTTCCTTGTTCTCTGACCCGTGAGTGGCTTTTTGGATTTCCTGAAAATAAAATTCTATTTCAAATTCTATAAAGATTCCTGTACGTTTCTTATGAAGACCCACTAGACGCCTGAGTGGTTTTTGAATTTGCGTGAATAAAATTTTCTTGTTCTCTAACTTCTGAGTGGCTTTTTGAATTCGCTGAGAATAACATTTTATTTTTGAGAGTGAAATTTATACTTGTACATAACTTGAGGATGCCGAGAAAAAAAGAATAAGAGTTCTCTTGGATTAGCTATACATGAAGGGTACATACACTTTGTCAAAACGTTTGCGGCACTCAGAAGGAACTTTCATAGGCATCATAAAGGACATATATTCTTGAATTGGCATCACGAGCCACAAATTCTACCCGGTTTCTATACCTACACGCATTTAAAAAAATGTTAATTCTAAATGTTAATTCTAAACGTTGTATTCTACTACTACTACAGCTAAATACACCGCACTCTAAGGAATGGCTACTTTTTAGATATTTTCTAAAAAACAAATAAATATGGAAATATTCCATTACACTACCTTCATTTTTAATTCATATCATTTCATTTTATATAACATAATTTTATCATTTCGGTAAATTAAGTGTAACATAATAAGAGCGTATAGGGCGTATTTATAACAAATTTGAGAAAGTAAGCGTTTTTTCAAAACTAATAAGCTCTAGATCGTATTTCACCCTTAAAAAGATCTTTTAAATGCATCGTACAAATCTTAGTGTTCTCGAGGAACATATGTAAATTTAAAACGAAAAACATTTAGTTATTATTATTTACCGTCGTCAACTGAAGTATATTTTTGCATCTACGCTTTTCTCTGTTGTTTCATTAACAGTATTAACAAGTGTAACGGAAAAAACCCTGATTCCGGGATATGATTACCCCAACTACAAGTTAGAAAAATATTATAAAAGCCGGATAATAAATTAGGTAACTCTACTTGAAATGTTTCTACGTGTTAGCATTGCCAGAGAGGATTATTTTGAAACTTATACGTTTAACTAAGGAAAAAATTGTTAAAAAAAATATTCAAATTATGGGTACATACAGTGAGTCTCATTAAGAGTGTGTTCTTCCATATAAGAATCGATAGGAAGAAAAAAATCGGCATATTTTTAAAAATTAATATTTGTTGGTGTTTCCTTTTTCCTTAACAACGTCATTTAAACCTTTTGACATATTTTTTGTATAAATTTTCGCATATCGCATTAACACAACAACGTAATATTTATTATTGGAGTCAGAGAATTGCTGTTTATGGATCGCATTATAAACAAGAAGAGTTATTTAAGGATATTGGTATTTTCAAACTTGGTATTTTCAAATTCAAACTATGGTAACGCCCTTAACCTGCTTAACTCCTGCTTAATTCAAGAATGGCTCTTATATAACTGCCACAAAGTGCTTCGCGTTCTTGCCCAATTACCAGATGTGAATCCTATAAAAAATATATGGGCGTATTAGATCGCCGTGTGCGAAAACCACAATTTAGCCTTTTTTCACTCGTCTTTACCGTGCGATTTAAGGTAACATTTACTTTCTTCAGTCGGGTTTTTTCACAAGGAGCCCCAGAGACCCGATAAGTTTATATTTCCTTAATAAGCACACACAGGGGTCGATCTAAGCACGTCCGTCTTTTTGTTTGTGCGCTGTAAACATAGTCTTAGCGGCAAAAATGCGCGTATCAGCTTCACGTTTGGGAAAAACATTGGAAACCCTTCCTAGCAAGCTGGTATTAAAAATGGACTACATCAATCAAAAGACGTGCCGCCAGTCCAGCTTAAACTGATAACAACTCTGCCCATTACTCATATTTTACCCACTACGCATAAAATCTTCGATAAAAAAGGAATATACTTTGAAACAGCTTTGTGTAAGTAATGAGATAGCACGGGTTTGAAGTTTAAAAAGGAAACTGTGATTCAGTTTCGTTAAGCTTTGTAATTCGGCTGGAGGTAATCTGTGTACGATTTCTTTTCTATATCATGCAAATTATTTATCTGATTCCTAATTTTGAATTCTTCATGTGCCATATATTCTGCGGCCATTTTATCCACAAAATACAACCTTCGCATTGATAGCAAACTATTTGTTTTGGAAATTTACAATCAACTTTAAAATCAGCTTCTACATCCTATTCAAGATCTAATTACGGTTATTATGTTGGCAAGTGTTCAATTCAAGTGAACGGTGCTTTCACAAAAAGAATTCTTTTATTAAATTAACCTTCTAACTGCCAGCTAGACAAAAAATCCCTTCAAAAATTTATAAGGCTCTTTAAAACGCCTGCGAAGACCTAAAGAAAATACATGCAATTTAGATTGAAAATCAAATTAATCTATCAGACGAATATTAAACTTTGAAAATTTCGATGCAAAATTATGCATATAAATAATGAAATTATTTATAAATAATAGAAACGTAAACAAAATATTTGCATATGCTAGTATATGCATCGTAACGCTAAGAAAACGAAAGGCAAGCAAATGTTCTAGTTGGAAAGCAAAGAATTTCGTACGCATATGATATAGCATTAATGAGATGCATATGTATGCGCATACATTTATTCCATAAAATGAGAAACAAGCTCGAGTTCGTAACAAACAAGCAGTGGAGTTCGTTTAATACCGGTTCCTTATCATGTTCTTAATAATTTTTATCTCTGACTACTAAAAGTGACGAATGCATTCTCTTTAATTATGGAAAAACTTTATGTAGTTAATACATCTCGTATGATATTGTTGCCCTCTCTGCTTCGCATTCTCTCTTTTTTTCCTCCTAATTAGAACGTTTTTATTATGACATAATAAATTTATTCGTATCGCATTTAATAGTATCGCATGCGTTTTTCTTTAAATCTTCATATAATTTTATGATTGTTTGACACAAATCATGCGATTATTGTTTTCAAAAAATTATTCTATCGACCATAGCTTTACTTTTACTATGCGATATTGGCATCAAACAGCTTTCTTTGTTAAAGGCTCAAGTGCTTGTAGCTGGTATATGAACAGTTTGTTTGAAAAGCGGGGCAAGTCGACATTTGGTAGTCTGGCCAACCTTCCCCTTTCATGTAGTTGTCTAGGAAACATTGCGGGCGTTTCATATTGCGTCATCAAATATGAAAGTTTTATAGAAGATTTGATCGTGTATTATGTGAACAAAGGTCTATATTCAGCAGTAAGTAATTTACTCATTTGTTTTCTTGCGATATTTACGCCAAAACAGCAGCCGCTTGAAGACGAACTACATCAATGGCAAAATCCATCACACCCCCATCACGCCGATCTATAGCATAAGATAGCGATTGCAATAGTTTGCACGAGCGAAACGTGTTGCTGCATTGAATGCTAAGTTCGAGCAACGTACTAATACCAGATTGAAGGATTAATTATAATCGATTGCATTGTGCGCTTTATTACCTGACAAGTTGAGTGTTTTTCCATACTGGGCTTCAATCCGTCTGTCGTAGTGATGAACCTAATATTAAAGAAGCTATTAAAGTGACTCGTATATATCCAACTATTTACAAATTAGTGGACTTTGCTTCGCTGCTCTGGTAGAATGTTACAGACCGTAAGACCAACTTCCTAATGCATCATAATCCGTATGCAAAGAAAACGTACTATGTTTATTTCCTAACCTTTATCAATTGATTATTTAAGATTTTATCAGTTTAGCGATAAGATTTCGCTTAAAAGGCAACGTTTGGCGAAAAGAGAAACGGCATAAAACAATCAATAAATTTTTTATTTATATTAAGTACCTGAACAGAACAACAATAGGAAATATTTTAGAAAAGACATTAAATAAAAGAAAATTTATTTAAATTTATAATTCTTAATAATTTATAAATGAAATGTTTTTATTGAATTTTTTCATAGTTTTATTAGTTGTGTTAAAATCAAATAAATTGATGTCAGGTATGTTTAGAATGTCTTTAGCAAAAAAAAAAGAAGAAAATTTACAGATTCTTCTTCTTTTTCAAGTAGATAATCCATGCATTTTCGAGGACACGTGTGAGCGCTGTTTGAAGGCTGATATATCCTGTGCTTGGTGTACAGATAAGGTAAGCTTTAGTTTACATTATTTGAAATCGATCGGTATATCATGAACTCTTCGAATTGTGGTTTTGTCTCTTGAAGCTCTATGAAATGCGTTATCGTTGCTTGAATCATTCTCAGCTGTTGGAATTCGGTTGCCATCCCGATCATATTTATGAGAACGAGCCGAAACTGCACATACTTGCAAACTCGGACGTCCACGACTATGTATCCGCCAATAGTCAAGCAATTCAAGTGCAACCGCAACGGGTTTACTTAAAATTAGTTAAATGTAAGTTCTTTGTACGCACGCATGCGACAGACCGGAATATAAATGTTTACTATGTTTACTATGTCCATTGCAAAATTCATCGCAAGTCTTATGAAGCGCATACATTGTTAATCGACGTAAGTTTCTCTGTTTATCAAGGCCATATAAAAATGTAGGATTCATTGGTTATTATTCAAAAGATTTCTTACCTCCTTATTGAGCGTATCATCGACGGATGTAACGTGTTTGCTTTTCCGAAGGTAGCACTCGCAAATTCCCACTGGAAAAATATATATAATGACAGTTTTTTCTTGCTGATAAAAATATAGCGGAAGCACAATGCGAAGGGCTTTACCGGAAAACTTAGTCAATCGTGAGACCCACTTGAAATCACAGCAGAACCCCAACGTAACCTTTAATTACCTTAGGCGAAGTAGAGCGAAGTACATATGTTTGCATATGTTTTCGGATACTATTATAACAGAGCATTCTTAGAAGACGTGAGGCCCCTTCAAAACCCCAAGCAGAGTTCGGCCTTGTAAATAATGGAAATGAAGCCATAAATGTTTTCGAAATTGAAAGCAAATTCCTGTATAATGGCAGATACTGTCGCATAGCCGAGTAAGCAAGAATCACTACCATAGACCATAGACCTTTGTAGGCATATTTAGTGATAGCTGTAGTGAGCGCTCAGACAGCATAGCGCCCGTTCCTTATTTCTTTCTGGCCGTCACCGAACTAGGACCCATTCCCTGAGCGATTGGGCACGTCAAAAAAAAAAGAAGAAGAAGAATGTATATACACACTTTGATTCAAAAGCAGGGCATCTAAAATTCGCTCTGAAGGACGTAAACCTTCTTCTTGAAGATTTTTATTTACTTTTTATTAGTAATTATTTTTGCTTTTGTTTTGCTATTGATAAGACAATTTTTTTCTATTGTACTTTAAATATGTGTTATCGTACGTGACACAGTTTTTTAATTCACTTTAATAATTTCATGTCTGTGGTCAGCGGCAACAAAGTCGAAATAAAGCCAATTTCAATGCAATAGAATTGCATATGTATTAATTAAATAATTAAACTGAAGTATGTAATGCGTACAGTGGTGCTAAACGCAAAAAAACTGAGTTATTTCGTTAAAATAGTTAAAATTTTCTTTCAATTATAATTTTATTTATAAACTTTATAATAATTTCAATAAATTGTTTTTGTTCCTGAATTTATTATCTAATCATCCAAAGTTCACCATCTGTGGCTAATTTTGAGCTTGAAACGCCCATTGTGATTGCTTGAGTTTAGTACAACGCTTTATTGGTTAGCCCCCTTCTTGGAAAAAAGGAGATTTGGTTCATTAATTATAAGAAGACAAGAAATAGCCTAACCATATATGAGCAAATTTTTCTTTTTTGAATCAAAAACCTTTCAGTTGTGTTGATGGAAATTTTTAAAAAACACTCACTGTACTCCGTAACTATTGACTTTGACATCGCTATTTATTTCTATTGGCGCAGAACATCTGTTTGATAAGAGCTTCATAGTTCTCTCGGAAACTTAAAAAGAAAAGAAGTTCTTAAAAACTCGGCCATTCTTTGTCCAAGGAAAGCGTATGTTGCCTAGAAAGTGAAAACAAATTTTGAATGACTAATACTAAGTTGTTCGAAAAGTCATCGCATTTGTTTTGCTTGATTACTTAGTTGTATTATTTCGCTGCCAAGTTCACACCACAGTCGCATTGTAATTACACTTAGCTGGTATGCTAGGGATTGGCAGTGAAAAAGTTTGATTGAATTTGTATTGAGAAAATGTATTGATGCCAATGCTGGGTTACAAAAATTTCTTCTCGGCATATTTCGAAGTTCAAGCTGCACTACAATTTGAAGCTGCTGCCGTCGAAATAAAACCAATTACGGATGCAAACCGCCGACTAACAATATCTGAGATCAGAGAGAGGTTAAATTTATTGAATTCGACCAACTCTACACTACGCAGTAAATCATCTTCCATTTTGACGGAAAGGAAACAAAGAAATGACTTTCAAAAGAGCCCTATATTCGTTGTAACGAATTGCTACGAACTTCTCAAAAGCTTCTCGAGCAACAATAAAAATCAGAACTAGCAGACAAGGTTGACGGTCAACTACATATGTTAAAGTCGTGCCGCTTTCCCACTTTCCCATAAGTTGCATTAAATTTACTACTTTTTATGCATTATTTCATAGAAAATCGATAAAAACTGAGCCCATTCGTCTCTGGTATCGTTTAACGATTTTCTTCCACTCCTTCGTCCTGTCAATCCGCTAGATGAAAGGTGAACATACCGCATATATACGTATATATATTATTATTTTATTATATAGTATCAACATCGATCCGCACATGCAATCACGCGGTAAAAAAACTTTAAAGGAAAGATATCTTACGGAAAGAAACCTACAGAGGCACATCAGATTTTTTTATAATTTCCGGCTCTCAATGCTTCCTTTTTTTATGCCGAACTTTCGTGCATTGATGTAAAAATTTCTATATTTACTCCTTTTTCAGCTCATACGCAGCGTCTTAAACTTACCTACCGTCCGGCACGCAATGATCCTTTAGATTTATATGTGCTTATGGATCTTACGTGGACGATGCGCGATGATCGCGAAACTTTAGTTCAATTGGGGGCCGACTTGGCTACTACTTTAAGTAATCTAACGTCAAATTATCGTTTGGGATTTGGTAGCTTTGCTGATAAACCCGAAATGCCCATGATTATGCCAGAGTTACGGGAAAATCCATGTGCGGCAGAGCATGATATTTGCGAACCCACCTATGGCTATCGTCATCATTTGCCTTTAACCGAGAATATCCAAGCATTTGTGCGGTCTGTAGAGGCTAGTAAAGTGACCGGAAATTTAGATAATCTTGAGGGTGGCTTAGACGCCCTCATGCAAGTCTTAGTATGCTCTGAAGAGATCGGTTGGAAAGATCAGGCTCGTAAAGTGATAATATTGGTTACGGATGGTTTTATGCATTTCGCAGGAGACGGTTTATTAGCCGGTATAACACAGCGTAATGACAAAAAGTGTCATCTAAATGAGCACGGAGAGTACTTAGGCTCCTTGCAGTATGACTATCCGTCGCTTGAGGAAATCTACAGAGAGTTATTAAAACGTAAGATAAGCGTTATATTTGCGGTTACCGAAAAAGTGATAACTACGTACAGAGAGATGAGTAATTTAATGAAAGAAATTAGTAACGTCGAACTGCTGAAGGCGGATTCTTCAAATATTTTGGAATTGATTAAAAAGGGGTAAGTATAACTAACTCTTCTTTTACTCAGTCACCTAAACTTAATTTTTATTTTAGTTACGGGCGTTTTATTAAGCGAACGCAATTCTCTGACAATAGTCCCGATTTCATTAAACTTGATTACGAGACAGACTGCGGGGGACAATTTGAATCTTTACGTAAAAGGAATTATTGTAATGATGTTCGTTTAGGCGATATAGTGGAGTTTTATATTAACATTACTTTGATGGGTGCACCTAAAAACGGCGTTTACGCAAGTTATCCCAAATTTGAATTTGTTGCAATCAAGAAAACCGGCTATTTTAGGTCCAAAAAATTCGTGTCGAAGAATCTACTCTTAGCGAGGTTATGGAAATTGAGGTAGAAATACAAAAGCCGTGTCCCTGTGAAGAAGTTGCAGAACCTAATCATGAATACGGACGTTTTCAATGCAGCGACAATGGCTACTTGCAGTGCGGCATGTGTCAATGTGAGGCGGGGTGGTAGGGCGCGTCTCCACTTTATCTTTCATATAAATTTTTTAATTTAATAATTTCTAGGACTGGAACTTTTTGCAATTGTCCCACTGACTTGGTGAATGCCACTACTCAAGAAGCTATAGAAAATCTATGTCGGCCTCCTAGTAATTCAAAATTCTTTGAGGACAAGTATCCAATCTGTTCGAATCACGGCGAATGTGATTGCGGTCTGTGCTATTGTTTTCCCGATTTTGATGGAAAATATTGTGAATGTCCCGCATGTGATATTGAATGCGATCCACAACGGGCGGACTGCATATGCGGCGAATGTGTTTGTAAATACGGTTGGTCCGGCAACCATTGTAATTGTGAGGATAGCTCGGACGGTTGCATAGCACCAAATGGCGAGATTTGCTCGGGAAGCGGTACTTGTCAATGCGGTAATTGTTTGTGCGAAGCACCTTATCGAGGTAGATTTTGTGAAATCGGTTCCGGAAGCGAAAATAAATTATGCGCTTTCTATGAGCCCTGCGTAAGTTGTTTGATAGAACAAAAAACTGGCGTGAATACTTGCGAAAATTTCGATGAAATTTGCTCTAGCGCCGAGAGACATGAACGCTTTACCACATCTTTCATTACGGAAGAAATAAGTACAGCAAAGTTTTTGAAAAATTTCAAATTTCTTATGTTCTTTCTTTCCACTTTATTCGTATAGATGCTGATATACGGTGTTTGGTGCGACTTACAAATTCAGATGGTATGAAATGTGATTATTATTTCACATATCAAAGCCTGGGACCGGCCGAAAATTATCTTTTAATACAACTTACTAATTGCGAGCCCATCAACTTGGCGTCCGTGATTACTTTTATTAGTTTAACTACCTTCATATTGGGCTTCTTCGTAATATTGTTTATTTGGTTTTGTATTCGTATTAAGGATGCTCGGGAATATGCTCGTTTCGAGGATGAACAAAACAAGAGTGTTCTAATGGAGAGTCCATTATACAAAGATCCCGTGCGTAGGTACGAAGTTCCGAAAGAGTTAAATGGAAAGCCTAGTAATCCGTTTTTGTAAATCGTAAGCCACGGAGTATCTTTTCCTATCATCCGTTGTATTGAAAGCTTTTAGTAAATTAAAGTGAATATCTCAAGGCGCAGTCATAAACGATGTCATGGGCGAAAAATCATTCAATTGTTCTCCTAAGACAACAAGTGAAACCAATAATAAATAATTTTAATTTTCTTTATTAATTATTCTTATATATATGCTGTATAAGTATATCAATATAATAATAAAACAAATTTTCAATGTCGTTTTCGACCTTAATGATACTCTGTGTTCATCACTATAATTCGAAACCGTGATTTTGCTAAAGCCAGTGATTCCAAACCGTTTTCGCGATCAAGATAAAAGCATTAATTATTTTATTTACATTATTTGTTAACCTCCTTTCAATGGGAAAAGTAGAAACAGGGGGTTGCCAACTGAGTAAAAGAATGTTGAGAAACTATTTAATATAACCGATTGAATGAGTTTATAAATAAGTTGGCCATTGTCTGCTTTTGAAATTAATTGATTTCTCAAGTAAAATATTATGGCGGTCATAAACGAATATTTTCCTCCACACCATCGCTGCGCATGCTAGAAGAAAGTGTGTGCAAAGGGCATATTAAAGTGTGCTCATCGCCTGTTATATCGATCGATTCAGAAACCAATCTAATCTAGTCTGTCCGTCTGTTTTACACGTCGCTGTTTCTAAGAAATTTTGATGAAATTTGCTACAGTGACGCGTTTTGGTCGAAGCCAACTTTCATGACCGCTTGCAATGCAACGTCTTGTTTTGGAAAGGGTTTGTTTGAATAACTGGTGATGAAAGGTATTTCAGGGAAGGCCATGGCCTACTATAATGCTTTAACATCTTTTAAAATAAAATTGTATTCGCCTGAGTAGCCAAAGGCGAGGAATCCCGACTAGCAAGTCAATGGTCGTGGGTTCGAATCTCAAGTGCGGTAGAGTTTTTAATAAAAGCCGATAGCCTTAGATGCTAGTGCTTTTAAGTGTTTAGTCTTAGAATTTATTTCTCTGGCGAACTTAATAATAATAATAATAAAATAAAATTGTGATTGTATGCGTGGCAATTTTTTCTGGAAAGTTTACGTATTTCCAGTATTCAATATCATTCCAAATTGCTGGACGCTTTAAAAAAATGAATGCCTTGGGCGTTATGTGAGATTTGTAGCTAACCTATAGGATGAATTTAAGCTTCTTTACGCAAAGGAATTAACTTAATTAATGTGCCCTGAAATCTTTTAGACTGCAGCAAGAAACACGGAGTCTACAAGCCATTGTACCATATTTTAACAATATACCTAATGTCGACATCTAGAATATCAAGTAAAACTAGTAAGAGCCGTACAAACATTTCTTAGAAAAGGACAGAAGGGCCTTTCCAGATGCTCTATTTGCCTTTCGTTTCGTTTTGTTTTGTTTCTGTTCATTTCATACTCTCGTATTACGCTGAGGATAAGCTGAGGATTTACTTCAACGCGTTTAGAGCGCTTTTAAACTCTTGCTTTTTTCTTCTTCTTATTTAAATTCTGAAACTATTTTATTAACATATTTTTCTTTACTAAACGTATTATATTTCTCTTTGTCTTTGCTATTTACAGCAGTTATTAAATTCATTAAACAACAATGCTAAATGGATCCGTATGCTAACATAGATTACCAACTCTTGGCTTTTTGAGTTAACGGTTTACTATTTCACTACCAAACATTTGTCATCTCATTATCACTTAAGGGTCATTACAAAATCATTAAAACAAAAAGACTTTTATGTCTATATAAAATTAAAATTGTTAAGATTTTCTTTCGACTGTTTATTAAAGACATTATTCAATTATACGTCCACATATGCACAAAGTGTTGAAAATGTGTTTTAAAAATGTTGTGAAAAAAAAAAGAGTTAAACAGAGTTAATTTAATTTTGCAGTTTTTCTTCGCAAACGTTAATATTAATAATTCATTTTTTCATGACGTAGTTTAATGCGTCATAACATTAGTTTTTAATGTTTTTACAATTAAACTTTTAAAAAACATATGTTGAATAATCTTTAACGGTATACAGCTAAACATATATTGAATAATCGTTAACTATATGATGGAAGTCATACAGCTGCGCTTAGCCTTACAGAAGGTAACAAAATTTGCCGTCAACTATTTGGAGATCGGTAGTTAGTGGGCCAATTAGCTCGGCACTTAACATAAATATTATGATGTGCTTAGACACACCTTCCCATCAATAAGAACAAGATTTTCGCTGAAAATTAGAAACTATTAACTTTGCACTTAAGTACAAGTCAGTTAAGATCATTTCAGATACGTTCATCTATTTATATATTCCTTAATATTTATGTTCATCTACTAGATGCCAACTTAGTCAAAAGCCGCTTAAGAAATTTTCTTTTAACTCAAGACGATGGAAAACTTGTTCCTTTTCCCGTCAGTTTATCAGAGAAATTAGCTCACGATTTTGCCTTACTCTCGCATTCACAGAAAAGTGAGATGGGATGATCGGATCCGTCTGCAATGAAGAAACGATAAATCTTACCATTTTCTGACTAAATGCTTATAGCCATAGTTGTCTGGGATAATGGGCGAAAGAAGTTTCGGATACTCTGTGGAAATGCATCGGTGCAATTCACTTAGTTATTTACTTATGCAGCAGTAAAATATAACTGCATTTCCAAATATCTGGAAAAACATCACTCGACGGAAAAAAAATAAAAATATTCTTAATTGATTTCACTAAAACATCCGCACAGCTGATTAGGACACACGAGCGAACGCCACCCGAACCAGGGAGGTTGGAAAATTTTTTCCGTGCCTTTCCCTCACAATTTTTCATACGCATGTAATCAAGTGAAGAGAATTAAAATTCGCCTTAAACATTTTTTTTACTAAGCGCTTGGGCGATCATTAATTTTGGTTTTTTTTCCCCCTTTTACTAAGGCAAGAACATTGCATAATATTTCGACTCTCTTGTAAATATTGTTATCGCCGATATAACATATGACTTTTTTAATTTGCTTAATTTATTTATATATCTCTTTGTATTATTGTGAATATGTGTTTTCCATGTAACAACGATTGTGTTTAGTTAAATTAGTTAAATTATACCATATACATAAGTGCAGCTACAAAACAGAACAAGTTCCATTTGTACATACTGAGGAATAATGGTATACCCCTGTCTCCAAAAATCTAATAGAATTGAAATTGAAAAAAAAAAACAAGAAATAACTTATAAAAAAAAAAAAACATTTTTATTACAAATTCGTTTACAGTAATTATTTTTCTTTAAATTTGAATAAACTAGATTTACACCCAAACAAGAATACTAATAACATATCTACAGACAATACTTGGTTAAGAAAAAATTGTTTTTTTTTTTTTGCGAATTACCTTCAAATATTTTTTCTTGAGTTAATTAAACTAAAAGAGAGACTTTTAAAATTAATAATATAACCTTCGAAGGTAAGAAAAACAAGTGCAAAGAATTCTTACTTAGTTTATATACAAGATAAGTAAAAAATGAAATGTGTCAACAATGGAATGGATTACAGCTCACAGGAAACTATTGTATAAATTAGTTCAGGTCTTTCGTTCTTTCCTTCGTTGACAAATTTCACAATAATTTAAAACAATCCTAAATTAAAGTAAAATTATTTAAACTATTTTTCTTTTGTTTTTAACTTTAAAACCACTTTAATAAATAAACCTTTTTATGTGTATACACATATATATATATATTATATAATATGTATAAGGTACGGACGTATATAGCGTATAAAAGTAAAAATTAGAATCTTTATCTTTTATAAAACACGTTCGCCCAGCGATGATGATCTTTGTATTAGCAAAGAGCTCGCATTCGTTAAAGGTGATAGATTGTCCTTAAATGTAGACATGACGTTCACTCTTGAAGTGATTGCAGCATTAGTCGCCATATTTAATATCGATTTCTGGGGCCTACTTTGAGGCGCAGCATCGGGTACTATACATTTCAGGAAAGCACTAGCGCAAGCAAGCGGCGTTGCCCTTTATAAATAAATGATCGAAAGTTAAACGATATCACGCAATTATATTCGCATTCTATAAAATATTAAACTTTTCTAGAAATTTTTTTAAAAGTGCAAGATATGAGGTATACTTGTGCGTATTAACTTTGTACGGATATGTACAAGACCCAGATCAACACCTTATTATACTGATCATTTCAGAGTCACTCTCGGAATCTTCGATCTAAACTTGCCTGTCCGTCTGGTGCCTGTTCATGAATTCTTGTAATTCAACCTATAGATCAAAATTATTGAGATATTTTGACGATATTTGCTACTTCAACAGATATCGGCCCAAGGATGAACACTACTGAAAATGGCTCGGATGGAATAACTTTTTCGATCACTTCTCATGCAATGCCTTAACACCGTTAAACCAGTGTTATAAGCTTAATTGAGTTAAGCGAAGTATTTAATGATGGGCCGTAAAGGCCTTTTGCATAAGCAGTAAAACCGAATTGTGGTCACAGCTCAGCTGTTTGAGAAATATTATTCGATCAGGTGTCTTAACTCAGCTTAAAAATAATCGACGGATCATTTGTTTTTTTTTTTCGTATATCTCTCTGAAGGGTAGCAGCTCTTTTGATTAGAAAACATTTAAGCTTAGTTTCAGTTACAAAGCGATGGTTTTTGACATTTTGTTTGTTGGGTCACTAGAGTTCGTAAATTTGCTCCTCAATCTTACATCGAAATTATTGTTTATTAAATGTTTTTTATTCTTACCATTTGAGTATTAGTAAACCTCTTAGGAAACTGGGAATAATAGCAAGCTTTTCATTCCTTTTTATCGCTATTATAATACGATCAGCTACTTCGTTCGGATTCAAAGTGGAGACCCAGCTAAATGCATTATAAAATACAAATGAATTAAGTGAAGAAATTGTTTAACATGTAAATAAGTAACACAAACCACTTACCGTGCCCAGACGTTATCAAACATACCAGTTTGCTGTATAAAGAACGGACATATGCATGTTGTTTTAATATTATTATGCCCAAGGACTTCGAGTTCTAAACGTAAAGCCTCATCAAAACCCACCTATTCCGCATAGAGAAACTTATTGAACTGCTATTAAATTAATCAGTAACCATAACTTACCGCTGCAAATTTACTGGCTGAATAATCCACCAATTTATTAATGCCAACATGACCAGCCATCGAAGCGATCGTTACGATGTGGCCGTTTTCATTCTCAATCATTTTGGGTAGAAAAGCTTTGGTTGTCTAATCAAAAAATGTATACAAGAATGTATATAGAAACATATACAAGGTTAGCTGCTTTATTGATTTTTATGCATTTAATAGAATTTATAAATTTGTTTGGTTTTTTTATAATACCAACAACTGTGTTGATTGTGAAACAGTGAACATTATTAGCAACGACTTACCCAAAAGTGTGCCACTACGTTCACATTGAAAGAACGTTCAATTAGATGATCGGGTGTATCAAGTAAATTAAAACCGGATACTACGCCAGCGTTATTTATCAATAAATTAATCTAAAAAAAAAAACACATATATATACATAAATGTATAATTATTATAAAATATTTCTAACATTCATTTGTACACACGATATCTGAAGATATGTGAATCCAGGAATGTGGAGCCAGGAATTTAAAGCAACTACTTTATATTATCTTAAGGGAATAATCCCTTTTTTCTTTATTCTTCGACAATTTAATTAGAGACATTACAGTGAGCTACAGTCCTACGGCACCTTACAGTTATTCATATTAGGTGCTTGCACGTATTTTGATCAGAAACATCTGTCGGTGAAAACGATAGAGTAAAGCGAATCAATCAATGCACACAACCGTTAAATTTCCTGATTTTGACCTTTTTCTCTTCATAAAAGGGCAGATTTCGATTTACTATTATTAAGTTATTCGCTATATACAGGCACTCACTAATCATGGAATATTCAAAATTGCATTTTCAACATTCGTTACTTTTGTCGTTTGATTGGAAGAAATCTGCAGCACGTCAAGCACTTGCTGCTCCATCATATCTCGATTGCTAATTTTGATTTCAATGGTTTAAAAGTGATGATTTTTATATCAATGGCAAAGGGGGACCAAATTGTTTCAAACACAGTGAATTTCAACACTTACTGAACGAAAACTCGGCCTCAATCTCCAAAGGAGTTTAGAACAGCTTTGAAGTTGATGAGTCAACTGCTTCTAGATGTTTACATGCTATGGGAAAGAAACAGAAGGGGGGAAATGACCACCACCCGTTTCAAATTCTCTGCTCTGCTGCTTGCCAAGCAAAAAAGGAGCAGGTTTTTGTAGCGCTTCGTGACTGGTGACGAAAAGTGCATCTGTTACCATAATGCAAAGCGCGAAAGCCTTTGGTTAGTCCAGGAAAGCGTTCCATATAGACACCGAAGCATGGCCATAAAGTTTGACTGTGTATATGGTGGGATCAGCAAGGTGTCGTGTAGTGCTGACAGAACCAAATGAAGCGGTTTCTGCAGATGTCTACCGACGTCAATTGAACAAATTTTTTCAGTTTTCAAGGACGCACTGTTGCAGGGCGAATGGGAAGGAAGTTCTGCCTCACTCTGCGTACTCAGCAGACATAACGTATGGCCATTAACACTTGCTCTGATGGCTTGGCTGGCACACGGTTTTGAAATGCTGAAGAAGTGGGAAAATGGGTCGATGATTTGATAGCTGCCGAACCAATATCGTCTTTTCGACACGTTATCGTCATGTTGTAGAAAATGATGGAAACCATTTTGATTGTACAAATTCGTCGGTATAAACGCCTTTTTCAAGTGAAAAAATTATTACAATACATGCAAGCACCTAATGAGGCGACTTTTCAAAATAAGGCGTTATATGGAAAATGTTTGAAAAAGTGGTCCGACCCGAACCATTTTCAATAACTTTGATCCTTGGAACAAAACACAAGTAAACAAGCAAACAAGACGGACAGACAGGGTTAAATATATTCAGAAAGTGATTCTGAATGGATCGGTTAAATAAACAGTTGGTCTATTTCTAGTCCTTCTGAGCATTGCAAGCGTCCAAACTTAATACGCCCTTGTAGCACAAATCGTGTTGAGTACAAGAACGTAAACTTTCCTAAATCTCATCATATACAAGCACGAAATGACTATCGAAATGAATAAAGATTTCTTGTATTATGTACAAAGGCTATGGTTTTTGTTACCCAGGGCTTACTAAGGCTTATTTAAAACCATATATCAAACTATTTAAAACATGGTATTTCTTTAAATTTTGAAAACATTTTACAACACATTATTCTAAACGATTATGTAAGTGTGAAGTATATGTTCGTGGATTACCAATCTTTTGCTACACACATTGCAGCAAAACGATTATCATCTCATTCGCACTTAAGGGTCATTACAAATAACTCGACAACCATTTAAAATATAAAATGTTAACATTTTTTTTCTCCAAGCGTTAATTGAAAACATTTTTCAATTACCTGTCTGTACGATATTTTAAAAATGTTGTGAAAAAACAGTAACAACTATTTTAATTTTTGCGAACAACGTTCATGAATGTCACATATGTAGTTTTTCTTTTTTTTTTTAAGTCGTATTGTTAATAATCCATGTTTTTATGAAAATTTTTAATGCAATAATTTTTGGTAATTATAACGCCTTTAAAAAGACATATTGGGTGACGCACATCTATGCATATATGTAGGTACATGTATGAAAAAAAAAACCATTTACCAATGCCATGTTAACAAAGTGCATAAAAATATCACTATTTAAAGTAATTATCTATTAGGAATGTTTTCAAGTAAAAAGTCAAAAATCTTTGGTCAAGGATCCAATTATGGCCGCCGAGTTCAAACACATGTATGATACATATGTCTGCAATCAGAAAACTTGCTCAAGCAATTAAACAAACTTTTATGTAAAATTGAAGTGCACTTAATTTACTTAACAGACATAAACGTCGCTTTCGTATGCTTGCTAATGAGAAAAATGGTCCTAGGACGTAAAATGCTTATGGGTAACGCTTACGGATAAAAAGTTGCTTGAACTTCATAGCATTTTACTATTATTATAATCATTATGATTATTAGAATGAGCATTAGCAACTATGGGCTCTTATTGCTTTTGAAAGGCAGACTAGAAGGTGAGGATACTCGCTTGAGTAAAGTTAAATATTAAATTGATGTTATGATTTTCACATCCATGAAGCACATGTTTAGACTTTTCAAAGATCCATTGGACTTTGGCAATAGTATGATGAAGGAGGAGGACTTTTTGCAAACGTTTTAATCTTGACTTTTTCGACGTTGGTTGGATATAGTCCTGGTAATGGATTAGGATTAATATGCGAATAGTGTGCATGGTGCCACCGTCGATTTTTGCTTTCAATTTTCTCGTTACATATTTTTATACCCTACAACTCTTGTACCGCCGCTGCCGGCTTTCAGAATATCTAAATCCCCATATGCCAATAATGTTCAATTGTCCAATGTTTTATGATGAAAATCTGCTTAATTTGTTACGATGAAAAAATGGCTTATGAAAAAAATCCAACCTTCCAATGTTCGGGCATTCATGACAGTTATGACTTATGCGTGAAAATAATGTGTACTTTGTGTAGAGTATCACTAGGAAAACGAGCGAATAACTGTACTATGCGAAGTGGTGTAAGGTAACTGTATGCTTTTTCTACAATTAAAAAACCGATTTGAGTGAATAGACAGAGTTAATAGGATTAATAGATAGGATGCTGTCAAGGCTACGCCGGAAAACAATCATTAGACATTTTTCAAAGACTAAAATAAAAATTTCACATAAACGTATTCAAGGGAGATGGTATTGACCTAGAAGAAGACGAAGTAAATTTGAATGAATCAATAAATAATTTTTTTATTTCCCAATTCCCTTTATATTTTGATCACAATGCATATATGTGAGTTATTGCAAATGAAGAGCCATAGATTCTGGAGGAAGGCTAATCAAAAATTGAAGAGATATTGTTTTTTTTTCCTTGTCTTCCACGTGAAGCAAGGAAAAGCGAGCAAGACTTTTTTTAGTTTGTATTTGGCCTAAACTTAAGAATGATGCTACCAGTTGTTATTACTTTAAAACGGAATTTCAAAATTTTCGACCCAAACGAATTCACGAAAATGAAAATTTTTCCGCTTGAATAAAGCTGAAGCGAATCTTTCCATGGCTCACCCAAGCGGGCAAAGCTTGGCTAAGCCGTTTATTCCTACATTCCATCGTTATTTGCTTAGAAAAAAACTTTTCATTCTCGTACTCAAATGATGCACGCATTTCCTTAGGTGAATTGAATTTTAATACTTCTTCTATTATAAATTTTACGAGGTTAAACGATATTTAAACTAACGGTAACCAAAAAATGAAGAAAACATAAAAACGTAATAAAATTTCAACAATGTTTATAAATGTAAGCAGAAAACAAATGAAACTGGTTTGAAATAAACTGATGAACTGACTGTTGTCAGGAAAGTCAAGGCTGAAGAAATTAAATAACTTTAAAACAAAAAAAAAAAAAAAAAACTACATGCAAGGTAATCTAAAAAATATTGAGCCTAAGGATGAAAATATTGTTAGTCATTCGCAAATATCATATAAATGAAATGAAATGAAATGAAATGAAAAGATTACTTACATCGCCAACATCCCTTTTAACATCTTCAGCCGCTTTATATACCTCTTCTCGTTTAGAGATATCGACGACATAACCTTTACAATAGCCGCCCAGTTCTTCTAACATTTGTACAGTTTTATTAATACCTTAAATAAAAATAAAAGAAAAAGAAGAAATTTATTGAAAAGTATTCTTGACTTTTTATTTGCATCGAGACCTGCATCACCTGCTTTATTTATATCCCATATCACTATCTTAGCACCCATTTTACATAAGCGCAATGCCAAGAGGCGTCCCAAACCATTGCCACCACCAGTTATCAACGCTATGTCTGTCGATAATGATTTTTCGGGCCAACCAAAGGCTAAATAATAAAATCTCTGTAATAATAAAATTAAAGCCATTAATTTTATTGTCCACTAAATGTATAATGTAACCGAAACAATCACACAAAATTTTATTTTTGTTTTTTTTGTTTTTTTTGTTTTTTTTTTGTGTTCCTTTGTGACAAGTTTATTGATTTATAATGGCATCGAAGAAGAAGTTCATGAAATTGATCTCAAACTGGTTTTCTTACTTGCTTTGAGTTTTGTATATTTTTTTATTTATTTATTTATTTTTTTTAATCAAAGCGTGTAAATGTTGTGCACGGTTTCTTTAAACATATAGCAAGAAACATTTAATATAACGCCAGTCCTTGAGCAGAATGTTTTTAACTGTTTTGCATTTCTTTAATATGTAGTGTAGTAGTCGTTCTCATTCCATGAAATTAAAGTTTAATAATTCATATTTTGCATTCGTAAATCCAAAAAGGCACAATTTCACGATCAGATAATGAGTAAAGTGCTTCAATAATAATAATAATAATGACAGCAAACTGTTGCCCTTAAATTATTAAAACCTATGCCTTTGCAAAATGAAAAAGTTTTCACGTGAAAGATTCTATGAAAGATAGTTTTATGCTGAGTCGTAATCTACTGAATAATCAATCAGGTATATTACTACTATTCTAAAGACAATTCATTAATTTCTTTAACTTCACACTATGCTCAAATGCTTAAACTTCATAGGGAAAGTGCTCGCGAGCAATTAGATGTGAACTTAGTTCCGATTTCTATTTATGTACATGCGTTGTTAGTCTTTTTTCTTTAAACGTTGTAAACCTTCCTTATGCAAATCGCAATATGTTAAAATATATATTAAGCCAAAGCAAAGCTCTTTTTTTGATTGTTTTTCTATTCATCATAATCAGGATGAAGGGTGTATTCATTTTGTCAAAACGTTTGCAACACCCACAAGGAAATTTCAGAGATCGCATAAAGAGATCATGATCAGCATCGAATTCTTAATTACTTTAAGCTTGTCCGTCTGTCCCTTTTTTTGTAAACATTGCCCTGGCCTAAATCGGTCGAAGGACACATCTCTAGTACCGAATGAACTGCTTTCTAAAGAGCAAGAAAAATGTTTTTTTGGTATTTTCTCAAAAACAACAGCTAATCTTACACAAATTTTGCACAAGCAATGCTATAGTATCTGTACAAAAATGAAAAAAACCGCTCACGCCTACCCAATATTATACTGCATTTTTTTTTTTTTGTAATGCCCAGAACCAAGCTTCTTAATTCAGAACGCACCCAAGCATATCTATCGGTTTGTGTGTCCATTTGTCCCTATGCCAAACTGCCTAGTATTTCTGGTAAACATTCTCTCTTCACAAAAAAAAAGATATCGCACACACACACACACAAATTTACAAAAGAATTTGAAAATCATTTAAATCAGTCAGAGGATACACTTGCAACAACCACTCGTCTATGCAATAGAAACTGAGACCACCTTCGCTTCCCGAGTTTTTTTTTTTGCCCACTATTCGTAAACCGCAACAGATACATAATGATATGAGAGATAAATCAATCGTGCCCATCCAGTAGTAATATAGAGCACAAAAATTCAGATTTTTTTTTTTTTTTTTTAAACTTGTGATGGGTATAAGAAATTCAACCACGACCGGTTATAATTAACTTATATGTTAAAATTAGGTGAGACATTTTAAAATTTTACACAATTGACTTAATCGGAAGTTTGATTAACACATTTCCGTTTTACATTTTCACATTATACATATAAATGCTTCAAGTTACATGTGTATGGTATAACAAAGAGAGTTTACTAAAAGACTTAAGTCACGAACTTGATATTTGGTTTTAGTTATTTTTATATATATTTTATATATGGATTTTATTAAAGGCTTTGCCTCTTTCTACACACTTGAATTGTTTTTATAAAATATTTAGTAAAACAACAACTACAAAAACACTTGAATATTAACTGGTATCAAAGCACATTGAAACAACATTCATAAGTTTTATGATGCAATTATTAGACATGCACATTAGCTTACAATCTTTGTCTTCTAAAATCAAACTACTCGCTGTGTAAGAAAGAAGCATTCAACTGTTGCAAGCGATGTGTGACGGTGCGGTAAAGCATTTTACTTGTTTTGTTTTTTTTTTTTT